TTTCACCTTTTGAGGTGCCATACTGACATAAATGAACATTTGCACGATATTCTAATTTTTCGAGTTTCACCTGTAGCTGTGGCTTGCCATTGCCTTTTTCTGGGATGTTTTCAGACTTTCAAGTCTAGGAAAAGAATGAATATGTTTGTATGAACCCACTAAGCCAAAGCTAGTTATTTTTCATTTTGGTTGCAATTCCAGCCATCTTTACTGGTTATTCGACATTTTTATTTTTATTTATTTATTTTATTTTTTATAATTTATTCAACATCTTTACCGGTTATTCAGCATATTTATTCAATTTATTCGACATATTTACTGATTATCCAACATTTCTGATTTGTAATGTTTTTCATATTGGGGGAATAAAAGTATAATGGCCCAATTAGGATTGCAGCCATCGTGCTTGGGGAGAAGAAGGCAGCCACATCTCTGTCCCCATTTCATCTCTATCTATACCTGTTGTGGGTGAAAAATGAGATGACAGACAGCAGAGATGCTGTGTATGGCTTATGCAATAAGCCACTTAGAATTGTATATGAGAAGTGATATAGAACACCTATATTAATAAATGTTACAGCCACTCATCTCTATGTCTAAAAGCCAGAAGGGAAAGTTAGCCATATAATAGATGAATAAATGTATCAGAAACCATGAAGACAAACTGTGGTTCAAGCACTTTAGCCACAATTTCACCTATGTCAGGGTAAAAACATCATGCTTGGCAAACTAAAAATGGTTTAACATGTCATCTGGAGTTTGCTTTGATACTCTGGGGTTACTGGTTAATAAAATTTACCAAATGTATCTCTGTATATAAGATTGTTGTTGTCTGTACATTTATTAAGCCATAGTTTATTTAACCATGGTGTTAAATAAGCAGTAGTGATTTGGTTCATTATAATACTGCCATAAATCAAAGTTTATACACCCTAACAGCTGGATTCATGCAATGCATATTATCCTATTTTGTACCCATCCATTTTCTCACAAAGATATTTTTCCTTTTGGATCATAAAATGGTAAAAGGGCAGACAAGACAAACTGTACTGCATAGCTAATTAGAACAATTTACTGCCCTCTAGATATTTTGGATAAAAATGCCCATAATCCATATCTAGCAAATAGCTGTATAGTCTGACATATTGGAATATATCTGGAAAATTTGAAGGTAAGCAAGCTCTAGATATTATCACTAGATTTCAATATCCAAATGCTGTAATGGAAGCAAATATTTATCTTTTTCCCCTTTTTCTTTAGTTTTAAGAGCACAGAAATCCATCCTGTTCTGATTCTGGCAAACCTATACAGGCTTAATTAACTGCTGGCACATGCCATAACGGTTCTTGATCTTACCCTGAGTTTCCAACGTTCTCTCAGTTTAAAAAGATTGTTTTTTTACATGTGACATTTGGTATCTATGAAGTAGCTTTATTTCAGAAGCTGCATTTTCCCAGACAAAGATCATATATCAAACCAAGCTACATTTAAACCACAGTTTATTAGACATATATTAGTTGCCTGGTTTGGATAGAATTTAACCCATAAATCATAATTTATAAACCACAGTGGCTAAGTTCATATACTGCAAAAAGCCAAACAGACCACACTACTGCTTAGCTTGATTTATGAAGCCAGCTTATTATTTTTTAAATGTTGGGCAACTGAAATAGAAACAAGCTGTGCATCCTGACTATTTTATTTTGATTTTATTTATTTATTTATGTGAATTTATTAGCCACCCAACTCCAATGGATTCTTGGCATCCTGGAAGGCTATTTTTAGTCTTTTCTCACCCCATCTCACTGATTACACACACACACACACACACGTGTCGCTTCCTTGTGAGATGGGCAGTGTCTAAATTCGAAATATAAATAAATATATACACACATATACATACATATACACACCTGTGGCTGAAATATTGGACTAAATAATATCAATCAATCCAGAGGTAGAGGTAGAGCAACATCAATCACTGAATGTGGCCTGGATATGGCCATCAGAAGTGGGCTGCAAAAAATCTGGCTGAACATTAGATGGCAGCAGAGAGATACAGAAATCTAACTCTTGTATCCAGAAGCGGTCTGGATTTTGGCAGTCCAAGTCTAGCAGCCCTAGGTCTATATGGTGATAAGAAATCTTTATCAACAGTTTAAATAGTTTCTGGGATTCTGGGCTGCTCCCGTCTCTTTGAAAAGGTCAGATAGACTATGAAAATAGGAGCTGTGGCTAAAGAGTGTTTTCTTTCTTGTAAGTTGTTATATTTGCTACTGACCGCTAGGAGGTATAATACAACCAGTTTCATCCTTGCAGAGGACAAGTTGCATAGTGCCTCCTAGCAGTAAGTAACAAATTTACAAGAAAAAACTATGTACCCGCTCCCACTTAGAGGGGAGGTCCAAGGCCTCTAATATGAGGCCCAGGCAAAACTAAGTTATATGCTCTCTAGTCTGAAAATGTAGGTTGTATCTCCATAGCATCAATACAGCTTCAATTTCTTGCCTGGGAACCAGATAAGCTTCATGACTGCTACCTCAGCAGAAGCAAGAACAAACTTGTTGTTTGCTCGTTCTGCTTCTGCGCTTCGAGCAACAGTAGGACATACAGAAATTAACCAGTGCAGCTTTGTTTTGGCAATGAACAGAAAAGGTTGCCTGCTAAACTTCCAGGTGTCCCAACTAGCAGGAAACAGAAAAGTATGCCAGTTTAAAAATGGAGAGCTTTAGCTGGATTCAGCTATGAAAGAGAAGTGGTAATTTGGGGCTGTGAAACATCTCTTCTTTCTGTCACTTCCTTGCAGAGTCTCTTTCCTTCCCCTGATATCACCCACATCTTGAATATTGGGCTGCACCCAGGTCTGGTCTGGCAACCTTTGCCAGGCCTCCTCCCAAAGCTAAACCAGAATGTCAGTGATACATCAAATTCCAATCATCATCTCTTCCTTCTGCGGCCTCTCTTCCCCAGCCCAATGCTTGGGCCTAATGCTGTCTGTTCTTGTCTTAGCCAAAGAAAGCATTATTCACAAAAACAGGGCTCCTGATGGGTCTTGCAGGTCCTATATTACAGAGCCTGTTTCTTTTTCCTTCCCTAGTTAGCCACAACTGCTCCGAAGAGTCAAAGGTGTTTGTCCCTTCTGAGACTCCCAACCCACAGCTGGTGCCTGATGCAGAGCTGGCTCCATGAGAGGGAGGATGAAAAATCCAGCCTGTTCCACAAAGCAGGGACTCAGAGCAAACTACATTCACTTACATATATACCTGGCATGCTCTTTGTGCTAAGCCATGGTTAATTCAAACAGCCTACAGAAGAGCCCTAATTGCTTTTACATGAAGGCAAAACAAAATCAAGCCACTTGATGGCTTAATATAAGGCATAAACCCAGCCAGAGATTCATTGTGTGGCCATAGAAGAGTCACTATTCTGTAGCCTCAGTATTTTATTAGATTTATATCCTGCCTTTGTTTTAGAGCTCAAGACAGTGCATACAGTGCCTCTTTCTCTTATTTCTCCTCACAACAACCCTCTGAGGTAGACTGAGCCAAGGGGGAGAGCAATTGGCCCAAAGTCCCGCAACAACCTCCCTGTGACTGAAGGTGGGATGAAGCTCCTGATCCCCTTTCCACAACTCAGGAACAAGAGTGGCCTGCCAGAAAGACTGGCAAGAATGCATCGCCGGCACCCCGTTTGGAAAGATATATTTAGACTACAATTCCCATCACCACTGGACTTGCTGGCTTGCATGAGGGCCCCAGCACACGACTCTTCAGTTTTGGCTGGCCGGCTGGCCTTCCGTGGCAGGCAGGCAAGAGTTAAAGACCTCGGAGCCAGGCAGCCACCGAGATGGCTGATGGCCGCAGCTTCTGACTCAGCGGCCCTTCGGGAAAGATCCTGCTCCCCCCGGGGGGCGCCCGCTCGGCTCCCCCGCAGCCCCCGGCGCCGTGTCA